GTACATACGAGTAAAATACGAGTACATACGAGTAAAATACGAGAATTAGCACGCTTTCTTTAAAGTTTCTTTCACTTTCACACTTTCACTTTGGCTTTGTATTATGTTCATGTTGTAAATGCCTTATTGACATAGGCGTACGAGACAGGGGGTAGGGGGGGGGGGCAACTGCCCCCCAAAATTGTGGAAAACCATGGAAATTCGGACAAACGCTAGGAAAAATCAAGAAAATTCGAGCAGATTTATGAGAAAATATGTTAAAATCAGGTTATTTCTTTACAATTCTCCATAAAAATTCAGGCAAACTTTCAACCCCCCCCCCCCCAGAAAACATCAGCCCCGTTCTCCCATGCGTATTGATGGATTTCGAAGCCTCGCACGACGTAGAAAAAGTAATTAATTAATATATATAGAATAAAGATTTGTATGTTCTAAGACTCTGAAAAGGTTTAAATGTAGTATATTGCTCACAGGCTGTCAGAGAGCTTTTGTAGTACATGAAAGTGCATGTTTGCCATGTTGTTTATACGTCTGTAGTCTATGTGTTTTGCAAATTTAATACGTGAATTGTACACCGGGAAATATAAAATACTTAGGGTTCATTATTTATCGGTTGGGGAGGGGGGAAGGAGCTGTTGGATTCTAAAATTCAAACAACATAATAAAAATGACCCTCCCTTTTAATGTGTTTAAAAATGTAGTCCACCCCTTTAGAACAGTCTGAAAATTTTTCACCCCCCTCCAACAATAAAGTTAAGAAGAACATAGTATGGCCGTATGGTAGTTCTTCCCATCCTATTCTTTTGTGTGCTCTTTACAACCAGGGGGGTAGAGAGGACCTTCAACTTGGGGATGCTGGACAGGATTTAGCCAACAGGGGGGGGGGTGCGAAATAAAATCTAAATCCACAATATAATTGTGTATAATCTTGTCTAAGTAAGTAGATATGGCCCCAAGAAGAAAGGGTTTACTTTGGGTTTTTAAATGTAAAATATATTTACTTTCAATCATCATTCGGTTTTAAAAGTAATTCGCATTATTTTAACCTATCATTTTCCATCACGAAAAATCATGTCTTTTATGCATTATACAGTTTTCGGACTTATGCAAACTCACACCCCGAAAATGCAGGAAATCGCATTTCAGGGACCCTAGATTTCAAAATATTCTGGGGAGCATGCCCCCAGACCTCCACTAAAATGGCTCCCGCCTTTTGCGCTGGCTACGCCACTATCTCTATACTATCTTCTTTATATCAATGCTATAAAATTTTATTGTCTCCCCAAAACACTTCTTCAAAAGATTTAAACCACTCTTTTTATTTTACACCTACCGGGTGGCCCAAAAAAAAGTACTCCTGTTTGATTCGTAATAACATCTAAACAAGTATAGCTTTTAAAGAGAAATAACTTGCATCAAATAGAGGAAGGACTAACTTAGACTTTGATATATTACAGTTGTATTTCACTTAAAAATTCACGGAGATATTAATCTTTAAATTCGGGAGGATATTTCTGGATGTGTCTGAAATATGCAAAAATCGGCGTATCAAATATTAATCAAGATTTGCCCGACTGAAACATGCACTATTACCAGTAAATAAATGACACTTGACAAACAGTGGCGGCGCCAGGCTTCCAAATTTGGGGGGGCATTTGAGGGGCAAACTCAAATTTTGGGGGGGCAAGATCGAATTTTTAAAAAGGTCGCCCCCAGGAAATTCGCCCCCCCCCCTTAAAACGTGGCGATATTCCTAGGAATATCGCCCCCGGGGGCGAATATCCTAGGAATATCGTCTCCCAGGGGGGTGGGGCGAATACCCTAGGAATATCGCCCCCCATATATGCGATGTGGTTTATTCAAATAATTTCGTGATACTTTCATCTATGATTATTGCCTTACGCGTTTGAGAATTTAACTCTGCAAAACTAAAGCTTTTTAGTCTTTTTTTGAAACGTATTATTGGAATATTGGCAAGTTTTACCATTCAGAGATTTACAAACTAATATTGAAACTGTAAAAAACAGTTTCATGTATATGCGCATTCACAAATGAGTAATGACAACTTATAAGCCATACATTTTCCGATAACGACAGAACACTTGTGTAGCCTTTAGTCGCTCTTAGGGGCTGATTACATGGACCGGGCCAGCCCGGTTAACCGGGCTGAAAAATGTCACGAAAATCTTCCTTGGGCCGCAAAATGAGTTTTAAATCGGGTTTAGGATTATTTTGCATCTATACTAAACCAATTATTTATCGCAAATTTATTTTACGCGAGTTTTAAAACCACAGTAAGGTCCTAAGCAAACGAGTCAGCCCGGTTAACCGGGCCAGCTCGGCACCATGTAATCAGCACCTTAGTGACTAATAATTTTTTTGAGGGGGGGGGCAAAATGGGGGGGCAAAAAATAATTTGGGGGGGGCATTTGCCCCCCCTTGCCCCCCCCTGGCGCCGCCACTGTTGACAAATTGTTTATTATGAAACAAAGTATTATTATATCTACAAAATACAAGCAAGATTCATTCGTCCGAAATTCGCGTGTGTTCCTTATTTAAGAATACGAAAAATTTAAACGCCTGCCTTCCATGGTCAGTCTTTCATGTACATTTAAGTTTGCAAAGACCTAATATTAAATACTTGCATAATTTCGAACGTTCATATTTCAGGAAACAATGAGCTAAGACTTACATGTAAGATGTCTAAATCTACGCCATATCCCTTACAAACCTTAACGATAATTCGCTGAAATACAAGTTAGCCTAATATGTCATTAAGCAAACAAACGCTGGAGTTAATATTTGATATGCCGATTTTCGCTAATTTTAGACACATTCCAAAATATGCTCCCCATTTTTAACATTAATATCTCCGTGAATTTTTAAGTTAAATACAACTGTAATATATCAAAATCTAAGTTAGTCCTTCCTCTATTTAATGCAAGTTATTTCTCTTTAAAAACTTTACTTGTTTAGAAGTTATTACGAATCAAACAGGAGTACTTTTTTTTGGGCCACCCGGTACAAAATATATCCCCCCCCCCCATTATTTTATCAGCCCCTCCTCCCAACCGATATAAATAATGAACCCTAAGTATTTTATATTTCCCTGTTGAAAACGTATTAACAGGTGTACAATTGACGTATTAAATTTGCAAAACACATAGGAGAACGGGGCTGATGTTTTATGGAGAATTTTAAAGAAATAACCTGATTTTAACATATTTTCTCATAAATCTGCCCGAATTTTCTTGATTTTTCCTAGCGTTTGCCCGAATTTCCATGGTTTTCCAAAATTTTGGGGGCAGTTGCCCCTCCCCCCCCGCCCCCCTGTCTCGTACGCCTATGTCAATAAGGCATTTACAACATGAACATAATACGAAGCCAAAGTGAAAGTGTGAAAGTGAAAGAAACTGTAAAGAAAGCGTGCTAATTCTCGTATTTTACTCGTATTTTACTCGTATGTACTCGTATTTACTCGTATTTACTCGTATGTTACTCGTGTGTACTCGTATGTTACTCGTATGTTACTCGTATGTACTCGTATGTTACTCGTATGTACTCGTATGTTACTCGTATGTACTCGTATGTACTTGTGTGTTACTCGTATGTTACTCGTATGTACTCGTGTGGTGTTTTAGTCACGATCCTATTTTTAGACAGTTTCAGACGTAAAATTATCCATTTTCAAAGGAACTTCAGATATGTGTACGACATAATTTGATTTTGATTTTTGGGTCATCCGAAAGATTTACATCTATACAACAACTTGACGGCAATGATTTGTATATATTACAGGAATTTTGTTTTTTTTAAATTTTTTTCTAACGCCAATTTCGACTTGCCGGCAAAATTGCGAAAATAACCATCTTTCAACTTTGTTTTTTTCGAAAGTCCAACCAGTTATACACCCAGACTAAACTGGAAATTATACTACAAATATTGTTCTATAATTCTATGAAAAAACTTTTTTGGGGAAACAAACTGGTGTGCTCTGAATTTAAATGAAATATTTGCAAATTTGACGTGGCATTAACTACACTCGGGAATTATCATCTCAGTATGACATTGAACAAACAACTGATATAATATGTTTAAGACATTTGATCACGTCTATTTGACATTTACAAAGAAAAAGAACAATATTTCACGCATGCTGTTTGTTTTCGCTAGCATACTTTTGAAATAGATAAAAACAAGCGTGTTCCTTGGTATAATTTCAATCACAAAAATCGTCAATTAAGGGTTTTCTATATATTCATCCAGTTTTATCAAATATTTATTGCTGTAGTATCAGCATATGCGTGCAATCACTCTTGTGAACATAAAATAACATTCAAAAATTGACGGGGGCAAAAAATAAGAAACAAACAGCTAATAGTAAAGCGGGTTTTCCCCCAAGGTAGCTATTCAATGTGCTGTGCTATTTTTAGACTGAATCATGTTCATTACATCATTCTCTTTTTAGAAACGCGTGTTTAATAAATATAACGTACATGCACTGAATTCAACTTAAACTATTACTTTAAAACTGTCATGGATTTGCCTTGTTTCTGACTGTGTTAATATCCTTGAATGTTCAGATGATGTGAGCACTCACTTGTCGAAATGTCATCTGTCAAGAGAAAAACTTTGCGAATATGAGCTTATTTTATTGCTTTGCGGCATGCTTGATATTTCCCATGATCAACTGCAACATATGAGAATTTGTCCCAACCATCGCTATAATTTGGGAAAATTCTGGCGTCCATCACGTGTTTGCCAATACCCACTCCATACTGGTTCAAACTCTGCCGTTACGGGGAATCACGTCATAACACTACAGCTTACCATGCAAAGACGCACATTTACTCTTTGGGAAAACAGTGCCTATCGGATCTCGTAAGTACTTATTCTTATCTTGGAATCGTTTCCTTGATTTTTTTCTTCGACAGTACGGCATGGACCTTTCTCTATTTTTAGCAATATGCCGAGAATGTAGAGGAAAGCGTGACAAAAAAATGAGTAAAGAAGGTGAATGGGTCAGATTGAAGGCTGAAACTGAATCTGTCAATGATATTACGGACAAGTAAGTGCTATTTTCTGTTCATGTTGGTTCATATGTCTTCATATTGCAAACATACAGTATACATGATGACGATATATGTATGCATCTTATTATACAGTGGCGCCGTGGCAGGGGAGGGGGGGGGGGTGCTTGCCCCCCTCCCATTGTCGAGACCTGTCGGAAAATTGGTAATATTGTCGGAAAAATACTTTCCTTGGCCCCCCAAAAAACACGGGACACACGACGCCCATGCTATTTTACCCTCTTCAATTTATCATTAATGATGATATTTTGATCATTAACCTAATCATTTATGATGATATTTTGATCCTTTCACGTTTTTATCAACAGATTGAAAATGACATCACTATTGCCATATCTTACTGGAACAATCTCTCCCTCAACTTCATTGGCTAGTCCAGATGCGACTGACATGTGGACACCTAGCAATGCCACTTTACTAAACTACTCCTCTTCAAGTTGTGAAGACCAATCTACTCCTTCGACAACTGACGTCTACAACGAATCTATGTCTCATCTGGCAAGTTTAACGTCTTTCAAAGAAATTTCAACATTGTCATTTCGACTAACTAGCAGTTGGGATGAAACTACACAAAGTGAGAAAGAAGCGTGCATTGAAAAGGCTAGCGAAGCATGCCAAGTACAGTGTGTATTGTAAAGAACAAAGTTCATGCCCAGATCACTGCAGAAGTTTTGCGTTAAGCGATTCAAAACTAACTTGTTTTCAGAAATCTTGCAATCATGAACATAATATTTTCTGCGACAGATGTGAAGAGCTCAAATTCGTCCTTAGTGAGATTGAGAACATTATTCGAACTCATTCAAGCAGTGTGACCAGATTATAAAATTCGATTCTGCTAAATAGCTGAGAAAATTATGCTAAATCATGATAAATTATGCTAAATGTATATTTGATTAAAATATGGTGAAATATTAATTTGTAAAACTGTTAAATGCCATCGGCCATAGCAGAACGAATGACAACGAGTTTATGAAAGTGAAAGTTTGAACCAGCGAAAGACGCCATGACCATGTATCACGTGACGTGTCCAGGGAATCAGACTGAGGGCTATACATATACATGATGGGGGGGGGGGGTCCTCATCTGGACTTCGTCAATAGACATGTTAGACTACTTGCCTACTTTTCCTCAAATTTCCATCCCTCCCCCTTACAAAAAAGCTAGGATATTTGAAATTTGCAAAAGGAAGTTTTTCAGCATCATGCTAACATCATGCTCAAGCAGTTATTTTATGCTAAAATTATGCTAAATTTTTCATTATTCCAAATCTCTTCAAAAATTTGTGAAATTAAGCTAAACTAGTATTATGCTAAATCTGGTCACACTGCTTCAAGCACCATGTATTCTAACGAGCAACAAATAGACTACATAGACGATTTTGGTAAATGCAAGGAAAACATTTTCAAATGGAAATGTCACATGATTCTTCGTTCCTGTAACCATTAAGAAATGGCCAGGCAAAACGTTCTTGAAATTCTGGACGAAAATTCCGCGCTCATTGTAATAGACTGGGCAATGAAATTTACGCAGCGTCGCTTCAGGGAAAAACAATCGATCCGTTTGGTACGCAAAGCGAGGAATGAGTTGGCACGTGAGTAGCGTTATTACTAGACATCAAGATACAAATCGGCTGGAAGTATGTACTTATGCGCATTTCGTTTCAAAATGTTATAAAATGCGGATAATATAGCCTTGCGAAGTTTGCCGTTTTTCAGTCATTTTGCATTACAAACGGGTAATTGATAATCACATTATCAAACTGATTATCAATTTCCAATTTGTAATACAAAATGACTGAAAACGGCAAACTTTGCAAGGCTATATTATCCGCATTTTACAACATTTTGCAACAAAACTACGGAATATTACTAATTTTGTGATGCTCTTTCAAGCTATGATGAAATTTTTATCCAGTCTAGAACAAAATTTTACTTAAAA